GCGAGAATGAACATAGTATTTGGCTTTTAAACACAATGTGTCTGCTTCCTTTTAAAAACCGCTCTGCAGAGATGGTAACCCAAAATACAAAAAAAGTTGTTGCGTTGATTTTTGTCTTCGACCACCTGTGATCAAGTCTCATTCTACAAACTATAGACTTTGATGATTTAATAGCTGTCAGGGTGCCCTATTCCCCAAATCGATCAGTTTCTATTTCTTGAGCGTATATTGCATTATGAATAGTTGGATAGACAAACAAACATACAACCAATTTAATGCGAGTGACCCTCTCATAAAGAAAAGTGACAATGAAAATAAAGAATCTCAAATGACTGAAGAAAAGCCAAGAAAAAATATCATTGTTCAGGAAAATCTAAGAAAAACATTTAATTGGTAGAAGAAACACCGAGAATAAATCTTCTTGGTGAAAAAATATTTGAGAAAGAATCTGATTGGTTGCACCTGCTCCATTATATACAAAGAATCAAACTCTGAAAGTAGTGTTTCAAGCCATACAGACAGCAAATTCAATTAAAACTTCACTTTCCTGAACATCTTTGGGGGGCCTTTCTTTTCAAAACTTAGTTTCTACTGGTTCCTCACCTGCCAATGAAGTTTGGAGCCAAACGAAGTTCAGATTCGAACTCCCCGCCTAGAATTACAACTATGCAGCTCTTTCTCGAAAAACTCGATTGCTATTGCTTTCTGACTCACCAATACGGTTTTAAGAGAATCGAGCTCAGATTCGAACTTCCCACAGCGAATTATCTATAGGGAGCCATTTTCCGAAAATCGCGATTGCTATTGGTTCCTGGTCGACCAATAGAGTTTTGAGGAAAATGAAGCTCGAATTCGAACTCTCCGCACTGAAATACTGAATTACCTGTACGGAGCAATTTTCCGAAAAACTCTATTTCTATTGGTTCGTAGTCGATCAATAGGGTTTCAATGAAATTGGAGCTCAGATTCGAACTCGCCGTATCGAATTACCTACAGAGAGCAATTTTCCGAAAAACTAGATTTTTATTGTTTCCTGGTCGACCAATCAGACACCGGGCAAACAGACGAGCAATATCCATTGTCTATACTCATCCTTTCAGGATTGAGAACAATTCTCATCAATAAATAAAGAAAGATAAGCAATCGTATGTACCATTGTGAAATACTTCTGATTTGAATGATTAAAGAATAAGTATCTTGGAAAGTTAATTATCAATAGTTTTGATATTGAGAATAGGTTTATTCGTAATACATTCTTTAAATCAGTTTTGATGATCTCGACATTAATCTAAAGAAGAATGTCGATAATTGGTGAAATTGTACACCTCGATAAATTAGATTTCTTCTTTGTTAAACTCTCACACAAGTTATATGGAAGTGAACTGTGGTAGAATTAACTCTATAGTACTTGTTTGGGCTATGATCAAGTCAATTCAAGTGGCCAATAACTATGACATATCTACTGAGCTCAACTGTTAATGAGAATCAGCGTTTTAATCTATCAATCTGATGGACGGTTAGAATCGTTTCTATATGCTTTGACAGAGCTTTCAAATGATACAACAACGTCCAGGGAAAAAAAACTATCCGATATGACTTGGCATAGAACATACTACTCCGATATACCGTTATTACAAGTGTCATCCCCTAAAATCGTGTATCAAAGTTAGCCAATCTTATGACCAGTCAGATTAGTTTTTATAAATAGTTCTATAGCGCTTAAAAGGCACTACAAAATGTTTTAATAACATCGAGAAAAACACGCTGACCGACTTAGATAATTCCCACGAGCCCGTTTGCGGAACATGGTTTGATGCCTTTTGATTAATATTTAGAAGACTTCTATCAGAAATATTACGATTTGAATGAAAACTAATATGATATTCTCAGTCAACTTCCAAAACTGAGTAAATTTTAGTGCTAGAGGTAATACTTTAGCTTTACTATAGTAATAACTACGTCACTACAGTAGTTACCTGAATAAAAAATAAAGTAAATATGTTACCCCTATTTTGTACACCATTTCTTGTCGAAAATTTTGTCTTCAGTGTGGATGTGTGTATCTATGGATGAGTACTTCTATTCACTAAACTCAATCACGTTCATAGTCACACGTACACTCACATCCAAATTCATACTAGCACGTCTACACCCCACATATCATTGTTATAAATGCCAACCTGTAAGAACTGATTGAACGAAAGTTGGATATCAAAAACATCTGATTACTTAAACTCCTAGTATGAAAATATTTATTGACTGAAAGCTGTACAGTGAAAACCTAGCTTAATAAAACTAATTAGACAGAAGCTAGAAATAGAAAACATCTGATAGGCTGAAGTTCCTGCCACAAAAAAATTCTGAATTGATCGAGCGAGCTAGGTAGCGAAACTACCTGATTGGGTAGATTCCTAGCATCAGAAGCATTGATTGGCAGAGAGCTAGATAGTGAAAACATCGCACGCCAATAACAGAATCAACGTAATTGACTTAATTGTCAGCATGAAAACGCCTAATTTCGAATGGCTGCCCAAGGCTCTCACAAATATATGTGTATACGTGACTTTACTTTAAATGTACAAGCAAACTCATTTTATTTTGTATGACCCTCACTTCAATCGAGGAAATAAGTTCATTATGTTCAGTTCAGTTGGTTATATGTAGTTGTATGCACAAAACAAAATGATGAATAAATAGTTAGTAGACAAACTACAACACATTCATAATATGATACATTTTGACTGCAACATATTTTACCGTAGTGTGAAGAAAAGCATGCCTTACGTGTAACATTACATTGTACAGTTTTGAATAGCTTTTGCAGTAAAACAAAATTATTTGCGTGTACATAAGATAAGGACTTGTCTTGTTTTGTTTTGCGTTCGCTGAAGTGAATTCACTCATGCATATTTAGTACGAATGTTCAGAAAATAACAAATTATCTACTGAATTCTAGAAATAGATTTGAAATCATTCTTTTTCGAAAATGGAAATTTTAATATGGGGAAAATAAAACATATTAAATAAAATTTTGACTTTGATATTCAGTCATTCTTGTTGTCATGAAGTCGTCAATGAATTGTGATTTATATCATGCATAAAAAATGGTCGATGAACTGCAACTAATCACTAATTTTTGTAATATCGCAATTAACCATCCCAACTAAAGCGAATTTCACAAATTGCTAATACTTCATTATAGAAATTCTCTATGTCTACTAACATTATTTTGAATCTCAGATAAAAATGTATACATCATTATTTGCATCTCGAATTCAAATAGTAAGTGGGTTTGTTAAATACTGATATTTGATTGAACGAATATATCATTATAGTAACAAGCAAAGGTGCACAATGTCCTGTTAAATAATTTTATTTGTCTTCTGTTTTTTCATATTTCTTTGTTCTATGATATGTGATAGACAATGTATTGTTTTTAGTCTTATATTGTTAATGCAGCTGTAGATAACAATTTTGTGTTAAACAACGATCAAGTTAATGTCAATTAAACAAATATTCAACATATTCTTGATCATACAGGTGAACTAAAAGCAAATTTTGATGGAGATTGGACGTTGAATAATTTTCATAAATTTTTCTGACTTTAAATGCTACACTAATGATGTTATTACGAGTCAAAATATTTAAAATTATCAACAACTTCGTCACAACTGCTCGAGCTTTCGATATTACTAGATGTCTCTTCTTCAAAACTATAAAAAGAAATATATAACTCGTCACTGATTTCACTAATGGTCACGATTATCAATGTTTAAAATTGAATAAACGCATGACTTTTAAAAAGAATTGTTTTTTTTACGAAGGCAAATATATAGTAGAGAAAGTCACAAGGCTTGTGTTCTACAGAATCTGTTCTGGAGATAACCTATTTGACCCTACACAAAGATAAACAGAACAATCTCTTTTGAATACACGAACGAGACCTGTAAAATAATATTTGAGTCTCGTAGAACACCTAGTTCATCTAATTGATTATGATGCAATGATGTTCTGGTCTAGTATTGAAACTAATCGTCATTTTCCATTATGATCAATAGTAGTCAAAATAGTAGATGTCATACCGGAGACGACTAGTGCTTCGGTAAAAAGATTATTTAGCTTAGCTAGATGGATATTTACTCCAAGACGAACATTATTATCATCAAGTCAAATTGATAATATATTATTTATTTATTCATACGAGAAATTCAAGAAAATGCAATAAAAAGAAAATTTATCGCTTTTGTTTGTCCATCTGTTACTATTGATTACATTTTGAATCCTATATCTTTATATTTGTTTTATTAATGTATTTTTTTGCCATATGGATGTCAAGTATTTTTTTATTGCTAATGTCGTTTCTACCGAAAAACATATTATAAGATTTATTACGATGAATATTTTGTCAATGACTTTTGTATAAATAATACGTCTATGATATTTGACATCATACCTCATATACAGACAACCTTTTTGTCTTTGTCAAAAATGCAATGAAAAGATCGTCTTGAAGGCAGCACGCAGAAGGATCTTTGTAGTGCACGATGTGTTCTGTTAGAACAAAAGTTTTGATGATCCGCCGTATGTCTTGCAAAATGAGATGACTGAATGATAATGTTCTGCAGAATGCAGAGTACGTCGAAGAAAATCATTCTCTGATAAATAAAATAAAGGAACTGAAAGCTTTGTTTTTGTTATCATCAGATATAATTAAGTGATTTATTACAGAGAAGATGAAGATAGATAATATCACATCATCTTATAGGCAACATACTATCACGATTAAACAGAAATTATTGTAATTGTGAAACTATCGAGATGTCTTGAATTATTCTAGATGATTGGTAGTGTTGTGATGAAATTCATTTTTTGATAACAAATATTAGATATCTTGTTGATTTTCTTGATAAATTTAATAGTCTCTAATAAATAAATGTATTCATTTTCTTATTGCTCTTGTTTTTTGTTTGATCTATATGAGAATCTTCAAGTTAATATTGATTAGTTATGTTAAACGAAGAATTAACAACATTTGATCGAACTGGTAAGTATTTGAAAGCAAAACTAAAACGTCTTTTTTTAGTTAGTTTTATTTTTCATTGATATTTTTCTTTTGTATGTTAGCAGAGGCAAAACATTTAATTTATCAACATATTAAATATAAACAAATTCTTCCTTTTGTTATTGTTTTCAAAAAAATAAATAAATAAAAACATTATCAATTTCCTTGCAATTAAAATAACTATCAATCAAATCGTAAGTTTTAACGAAACAAACAATAATAACATGATTAATGAATGCATGTTTTCTTAATTTGTGCCGAGCGATTTATTACTGTTAGAAGAAGTTGCTATATGATTCTTTAATGTGGAGACGATGACAGAATGCACTTCTAATTAGTTTTTTTTTTAAATATGTTTTTGTTGTTGATATTTCAGATTGCATTAGACTCGAAATCGATGAAATAGAAAAACATAAATCTATTTGATTGTCTTATTGTTTAAAGGTTAATCATGTATAGAACATTGATCTCTAGAAAAATTTAGCATTTAAGTAACAATAAGAAGTAAAATACAATATTCCTTTAGCGTATTTTACTGAAAACCCTTAATTTTGGGTATGACAATATGACTGATACTTCTCAATTATATACAAGTTGCAAAGACCTGAAGAAAAAGTTCTTCTATGAATTTTTAAGATATAAATAAACGGAGAATTGTTACAAATTGTTTATAAAGTTTTCAGTTGTATTTTGTCAGATTGAAAATGAATTTATCTTATAGAAGATTCTGTTTTTTTTTCAATAAAGAGCATTTGATTTCTTGAAATTCCTTTTCTTACTTTATCAGATTATCCGACAGTTGAATTACATATCTATGAAGTTCTTACGCGTATTATTTGTGATGATCACGATAAAATGGACAAGTTCGTTGCCAAAAAAAGTTACAACATGAATATAGAATAAACAATTTTATATCTATGGAGTCTTGAGTATGTAAATGTGTACAATATAAAACAAGAACATTTTTTATTTAAACGCAGAGTATAGATGTTGTTTTAGAGATTAGATACACCCACACACTTATATACAAGTATAAAACTTCTAAAATTTTGATACCTACTTAACTATCTTAAGGGCATGTTTTAATCTTTGATTTAATGTATTGAATAGATTCATTAAAGTATTTCGTGACGGTGAATAGTATTATAAAACAAATATTTAATTCAATTAGCCTACCGTCAAAATAAAAAATTTGTTATAAAACAAGGAAAAATAATTAGCATATAATAAAGAACGAGTTTTTTTCTATAAGTATCAATAGATATCTCAAGATGTTTTTATGAAATGATCCAAAGAAGAGCCGACCTATTAGGAAAATTAGTTTTGCAGATTATCTTTTGATTACCTTATCATAAAGGTCATCTATAGGCTTTCGAAGCATGCAAATGTTTATTATTACAGATGGTAGAAAAAAATAAAATAAAATATTTTTTTTTCTTTCTTAATTATTCGTTATAATCGATAAATTATAAATCTAATTTTTATTAATTGATTTAAGATAAACAAATTTTTTCTAACTTAATTTTAATAAAATATAAACAATCTATATATTTGTACTCAATGAATATATAATATCAGCAATTATCCATAAAAGATACAAAGTTTCCTTTCTCTATTAACTCATTTACGAATAATTCTTCAATCTTTCCGACAGATAGAACAACAACAATTAATGAGAGAAGAACAATGGGACCTTTATTTTTTCACATTTGTTTGGCGACTATAAATAAAGCACATCTCGTTCTTATTGTCAGCCCAGTTTCTTTTAGTCTAATTTCTTTTTTCTATTCTTGAAAGTACAATGGTAAGATGAATAACAATATCTATCGATTAGCATTATTATTAATTTCATTTAGACTACCGCTTCAACCGAGTTCTGGAATGAAAAAATGAAACGTCTTTTCCATCTTTATGGTAATTTATTAAAGATTTCAATTAGAAATCAACAATATTTTTTTCTTATATTTAAGATATTGATCGAGACGGCACAATAACACCACTTGATTTTGAAATTCTAGCTGATAAACTTTCATCACTGGTTGGACAAGGTGATTCAAAACGACGTGAAGATTATGCCAGTGCTCGAAAACTTCTTTGTCAAGAGATAATGCGAGCTGATGCAAATCAAGATGGAAAAGTAACATTAGGTAAATTTTTTGCTTTGAATCAATAGATAGAAAACAAAAAAAAATATTTATTATTTATATTTGGTGTTAACAGACGAATGGCTCCAATTTCATCGACTTCTTGCCGATGAATTACGTAAACCAGGTACACATCCTGAATTATTAGAGCAATTAACTCGACGAATCAATACAACATTTAATATGCTTGATCTTAATCATGATGGTCATATTGCACGAGATGAATGGGTTAAAACGTGCCAATTTTTTGGTGTTGATAAAGATACAGCTGATAAGACATTTACAGCAGTTGCTCAAGGAGAAAAACTTGACGAAAAGAAAGCTAAAACCCTTTTCTATGATTACATTAAAATTGATGATCCAAATCATATATCAAACTGTTGTGTATGCTTTCTTTAAATGTTATTATCATTTTATCTCCAATGTCGTTCAGAGAAATTGCCCATAAATATCCCGATATGTTATGTGTGTGCTTGTATTGTATCCTTTCATTTAGTTTTTAAACCTATATATTATGATTTGAAAAAAAAAGATGACAAATAAACATGTTATGAAAAATATTTGATTTGTTAAAATTCTTTTAATGATAAACTTAAAAATACAAGAACCATTTCAAAATTTGTTTAAAGAATCTTTTCAAAATATTTGTTCATGGCTGTTGTGTATTTAATATTTAAATATAGTAGCTGTTGGTACTATTCTGAAAAATATCGTTTGTAAGATTATTAAGAACTAACTAATGAGTGTTGAATTGACTTTTTGTAGAAACGATAACAAGAAGAAGTAAGGGTCATTGTGACTTTAGAAAAAAATGTCCGCATGATTTTCTAATAGAAACCAATTAACGATTTGTACTCCAGATGGTCGCCTATCATATTGATGAGAGATGAGACCGTGATTGTACTTTTATCTTTATTGTGATACAATTCTGAAGATGTTTAAAAGGCAACTGTTGATCCATGAACTTTCATTTATTGTTTCTTAAAAACGTAGTAAAGTAAACTTTTATTAAACTAGATCCTGATAAAAAAATCAGACACTATTTATTTATCTAAATGTTTTGAGTATTCCAATCGCTGTACAACAAACCAAGTATAAATTCGAATCTGCCCTTTTTTTTTTTGTTTGAGTTGAATACATACATGGCAGTCGTCATGCGCTAAGTCGATTATTTAAATATAGAATATCAGTAATCTTTTGTTAGATACATTCAAAAATCAATAGTTCTCTATTCATGTATAAGTTTCATATTTTTTCTTTTGAAGTCATATAATACATTTTAGTAAAACACGATTTATTCACTGAATTGTCAGATGTATACAAGAAAAGTCTTCAAAATGACTTATACATAAAACAAAATGTTTGCTAACTCGAATTAAAACCATTTTTTTCGTTTAAACCAAGCTAACATAATAAGTGTTAATAAAGCCATAAAACCAAGTACAACAAAATATCCATATTGCCAACGTAATTCAGGCATTTTGTCAAAATTCATACCATATATACCAACAATAAATGTTAAAGGAATAAATATTGTTGAGATAATAGTCAACGTTTTGACAACTTCATTCATGGCATTAGAATTTAACATCATATAATAATCAATAAATGAAGCAAGCATTTCACGATATGTATCAATTGTATCAGTAACTTGTACAACGTGATCAAATAAATCTTTTAAATAAATTATTGTACTTTCTTGTATAATTTGTGTTTCTTCTTCTTTTTGTAGTCGATTTATTATTTCTTTTAATGGTGATATTAAACGACGATAATCAAGCATATCACGTTTAAGATCATAAATTGTTTCAAGTGTATTACGCGATAAAGTTTCCATTAGTTGATGATCAATTGCTTCGACTTTTATATTAACTATGTTAAGTACATCCATATATTGATCAACGATAGTATCAATTAATGAATAGAATAAATAATCAATTTTTGATCTTCGAATACGGCCTTTATTTTGACGAATACGATCTATATTCAAAAAATGTATGATAGAATATATGTGAATGCTTTGTTTACTTTTAATGCGATCAAAAATATGATTAGATTTTTCTTGGAATGTTATTAGAATGTTCTCTTTTAAATAGAAACTAATTTGTTCAATGTGTGTTTTTTGTGTAATATTATCTGGATAAATTAATTTAACCACAAGAAATAAAGCATCTTCAAAAACATCTAATTTTGTTCGTTGTTCATTGGTTTCGATATCGAGTATGACTAATGGATGGATCTTGAATCGTCGACTAATACTCGATAGTAATACTTTATCATGCATCTATATATGAATATATACAAACATTTCTAATGTAAAATAAGATTAATAACTTACACCATTAATGTCAATCCATAAACATTCATTATTCTTTATTATAGGAATATTGTCAATGGAGTCATAATATTTTTCTTCAACTGTATCTTTATCATAGATTAATACTTTTGGTGTAACACGTCTAATTATTTGTAGTTCTTGACTTAATGTATCGAATGTGGATGGAATATGACGAAATGTACTGCGACGAATAATGGAACATGTTCTATCTCGTCTTTTATCTTCATCTGTTAAAAAGTCCGTCATGTATGATTCATTGTCTGTTACTGGTACAGTGCTAATTTCCGTCAAAGTCACGGAACCTGTTTTCTGTGACGTAAATGACATGACAAGTGTTATTTCGTCGTCCCGATAATGACGAAATATTTTATTTTTAAATTAAATTGAGAGAACGTCATGAATAAGTGTTGTAGACAAAAGAAAAAAAAGAGAGAGAGACAAATACACATTATCTTGCTTTTCTACCGTTTCGTTTTTTAACGAGTTGATAACAGATAAAACAGATGATTTTAGTCATGTGTTCTTGTGCTTAAGAAAACAACAGATTTTACATGAGAGACTTTATACAGATGGTTTTCATTTTTTTTTTTTTTTTTTTTTTTTTTATTAGTGCTGTGCCGAAAATTAATTATCCAGAGGATAAGATGAAACTAGACCCTTAGTCTCGGTTTCAAAACAGATGTAACAGGCCAAGTACATAGTAGTTAGTTTGGTGCAATAGTGGATGCTGATAAAAAGGCAGATAAGTGATCCAAGTAACACTTATGAAGATGTGCATGATTGTTCCAGTTGATCCAATTACGAATGTAACTATTAGGTCTACCACGAGGTAGAGCGTCAATAAATTGAGTTTCTTCGAAGTGCATTTGTAGATACATCGGCATCGCCTTTGCGAGAATATAAAATTCGAAAAGTTCAGGTGATAGTCTTTGTGCTTTATCAATGAAGCGGCGTAAGAAACGTTGAGCACGTGATGTAGCAGTTTGAAAAGCAGGCAACCGTTGTACTTCATCGTTACGAGCATCCCACCAATTGTGGATCAATCTATAAATTTGACGATTTTTGGTTTCAATTTTGGCAATAGTTCCATTGGAAAGTAAGGGCCAGGTTGCATATATCAGTTGAAAATATGGTAAAATAAATGCATTAAAGGTTAGTTGACGTGTTCGTAATGAGGATACATGTGATCGAGTAATGTATTTTAGTACAGTTGAATTAATTTGAATTTTCTCAAGCATATTAGTGCAATGTGTGTTGAACGATAATCGTTCATCAACAAAGTAGCCCAAATATTTAAAGAGAGAGGTACGTCTGATAGGAAAGAACTAATCGAATATTAAAGATGTAATATTAAGAAAGGGCCTGCAAACTTAAAACGACGAATAGAATTTGAGAGAAAATGAAGCATTCATCTGTTCATACATGATCTCTCATTCAGTAAAAAAGCTTTTGATTTGCACGGTTTTTATTATTCTACTGTATGTAAAAGTAAGGTGACATTAATTAGATGAATTCATCAATTAGAATTACTGTTGATGCATAAGTGAACATTTGACAAGTTCAATTCCAATCAACATTCATTTTTAACTTATAAACATCTGATTTTTATCAATCGAATTCTCTCAAGATTGTAGAGTATATCATGTGGAAAGATTTGTCGGTTTAACATTGATAATATTTCTTTATTTCAATTAAAAGAATATTGAGAATAACGAAAAAAGGTTCAAAAAAGTAAAATTATAGTGTGCAATACACAAGGAACAATGAAGATGTATCTGCTAGTAAGAACGTACAATAGTTTCATGAAAGAGCAACATAATTCGTTCCAATTGAGCGCGTATTGAGAATGAAAATTTTAAGTTTTGAGTTTTTGCTTTTTGAAATTAAAGAGTTTATATGTAAAATAAAGAGCTTACAATATTCTTCAGGTACTTGGCATTGGAGTGTAAAGATCTTTCTAAATAAGTCATAAACAAGATTTGCAAGATTATGTTTCAATTTTTATTGAAGCTTTACGAAAGATCCTTAATGGTTTCCTCAGAGATTTTCGTAAAACTTTGATAAAATTCGAAAACACCATATTATAAATCCTCGTTTTGTACGAAAATGTTTTTTCTACAAGCATACATGTTGAATAAATTTTTTTAGTATTGTTCATAACGAGAACATCTCTGGGGGAAGTTCGAAAAAGTGAAATTACTGGGAGCATGCCTATTTCGAACTTCATTTATTTATTTCCTATTCTTATTGAACAAGATACGTAATTAGCATAAGCTTATTAATCTATTTATACCAGAACCGCTCATTTCTAGTATTACATTAAACAGAACATTTCTTCTTATTTAGTTAGATTCGAGCTATTGATGAATCTAATAAAGGTTGTCATACTACTTTTATATAATCACAAATCATTGTGAAGAATATAAAAACTTTCGTTAGTTTTCATCTACGTGTCGATTTCCTACCACCAATAAACGATGATAAGACATTCATGATTGTGTTAAGTACTCCTGCCGAACAAATAGTATTTGTCATTCACGAAATATCTTAAGTGTATACTATTTTCGTTATTTATTTATTTTTTTTGAAAGAGACTTTGGACATAAAAAATGTAAATAAGAATGTTACAAATCAATCATGTTTCACACACACAAATAATATTCATATGTGAAACATTTCAAAATACTGCTAAACAATATGATCAAGATTTCATATAAATTAGTTTCATTTCATCTGATAGAAAAACCTTCAAGAAGAACCAAAATCAACTAGACCCGTTATTTTGGTGGACACAAAATTTAAAAAAATTCTAGTTGACATCAAAATTCAATGCATAATTTATAATAGACTTTCTTTTCTTCGGATGTTCTCAATATTTTGATAATGATCTCCAATTGAACATTATCACTAATTTCAAATGTAAATATCAATTGAAATTGTCTATATTTTAATACACAGGCAAATTGTTCGTTTATCATAAATTGAACCGAGATCTAAGCACTTTTGAAGTCGATACTATTATAGAAATAGACTTCTGCATTGGAGATCTTCACCAGCAAATCAAAGGATTACATGTGAAACAATTCTTTTTTCGCTATAGAACATGGTTTGCTATCTACACTATGGACAAAACTGAGTAAACATGGATTTTCAGAAGCTATTAACGACACATGATGAATTAATATTGTTCAATAAACTCTTCTCTACTAGAAACCATTAACAGATACCTCTTGCTTATACAAAAGATACTGTAATAAACCATCCCAAAATGATTGATATTTTTTTCAAAATATCAAATAATCCGATCCAAAATTTATCAAGAATGACTATGTATCATATACCATCAACTACAGTATTTAGACAACAAATTTAACTTTTTATTTCATTATGCTCTAATATCATAATTATAAGACACATATGTGGTACAATGCACTCTTGCTTTTAAAAACCATCCCTATCCACCATCTGCTCGTCTAAATAAATACGTGAAAGAAAAACAACATTTGTCCAAAAGCTTTCATCACTCATGCTATGTCGTCGACGAGAAAAAAAGCACCGAAAATATTTAGCCTATGCCAAAAAAAATACATCTACTAACTATTGAAAGTTCACTAATCGTTGCAATGTTCATACGTTCCAGAAATAAAAACAAAAATATCGTCGAAATATATATTATATTGAACAAAATAAATATAGTCACCTTATTATTGTTTATATACACAATAACGATCTAAACACATCTGTGCTATCGAGTAAATTTCACAATACAATTAAATCATATTAATAATAAACAAATTTTTTTGTTGATACACTTATGATATCGTTTGTTACTGAAATATAAGACACTATTTCAGTTTCAACAAAATTAGTTTCATCTTAAAACAAATTTCCTGACTCAATCCAACCCCCAGAGATATATTTAATTGCTATATACTATTTATATAAAAATTAATTTTCTAGGCTTATTTTTGAAAGCCCTGAAAAAAATTGCCTTGCAAATTTTATCGTAGACATATTATTTGAATTTCCTAGTACTAGGAGCTTGCCATGTCATGAACTTCCCTCAAAAAGTTGAAAGTAACATTGAAATCGAAGAACCGACATTTTTTTTAGTCAATTTTTTGATAAATTTTTGTTTTTATAATACTTTTTACTTGTGTAGAGAAGATGGTAGAAAATGTGGCGACCATTCATATTGTATTCTTTAAAATAGCATTGTTGAACACATAGCTTTTGTAACCTGAAAAGTACTGTCTGGTAGTTTTAGAAACCTTCCTATCAAAGTTTATCTATGAAATCTTGGTATGCAATGCATTAACCCACTGTTGACGTTCTTATTTTCGAACTTCATGGATGTTCTGGGGTCTACTTGGACCCACTCATAAAAAATTGTAATAAATCGATACTTTTGTTTTATCTCAGCTATTCATTTATGTGCTATAAACCTCTAAATACTCTCTTCATAAAGATATGTATGTGTGTCACGTTTCATAAAGACAATATAGAGAAATACAGTATTGAAAAAAGTTGTCTGACATTGATTTCATTACAACACTGAAATATAGCTGAAAAAATGATTTCATTTGTAAAGAATAGTTTGAAAGCATCAAGAATGGTCTGAACTTTAGTAGTAGGACCAGGCTTTTTTTTTCATTATATCAGCAGCAGCTATACAACTTTGTAGTAAGTTTGGGTGTATAAACCACGTAGTACCAGCCTTTTGTAATGTTTCTCGTTGACTAGTTGTAACAACATCACCTTGTTCAAAGTCGGAATTTGATGAATCAGATTCTTCTGACATATGTTCACTATCAGATATATCATCTGATTTAGTAGCAACAAAATCATATTCACAATTCGAAATAGAACCTTGATTATCATCAAAATCACATTTCTGCATTCTACTATTTTTGTCTGTTTATTTCGATGGCCTGAATCTGTTAAAACCTTTTTAAAAATGTAAGAGAATTAAACTACCAAACGTACATTTTCACACTTTTCTGTTCTTATAGCATGAACGNGCTCATTTCACATATCGATAAATTTGGTGCTCATTTCACTCTTTTTTTGGTGCTCAAAACACACTTCATCGATCTGGTGCTCATTTCACTCCTTTTCTGGTGCTCAAAACACATTTTTTCCAATATTCGTGTAATTATTGATATATAACAGGCAAGCCATAATGAATCAGACTAATTTTATATGCAATTTTTCAATCATTCACTATTCATATATCAAAAGATGAAGAGTTGCAAGCTCTACAAAACGGTGTACTTCACTTTTACAATTAGTGCAAAAATTCAGGACAGTCAATGAAACAAAACACAATTCAAGATTCATTTTTTGAACCCACTTAGTTTTTCGTGAATTTTGGCGAAAACATATGGCACTGCAATTCACCAGTCATCTAGCCTTGTAGAAAACGAAATTCTACTTCTTTTTTTGGTGTCTGAATAAGAACTTTGCAATTGCAGTTTAACTCAAAACAAACTTTATTATATACAAAATTCTCTCAAAATCACGATGAAGGATATTTTCAACTCTTCAGTAAAACTTGGATCTTCAAAATTAGGTCAGCCGAATGAAGGACAAAATTGTCTATCTTTTGATATAAAATCCTTTACGTTGGAGATCCTCTATACTTTTGCAAAGCACGAATAACCATGCGTTACAGTAGAAAGATATAGGACATATAAATGTTTGAATTGTCGTGCAATGGCCAAATGTTCCTTCAAGAAGTGAAGTTCTTAATTTGATAAAGCTCGAGATTCTCTATCTTTTGGTATATGAATGATTATTTTGTATGGATTTAAATGCGAGGAAAACTGCATTATCATTTAGTCCAATTCATTACGGCCGATCCGTTATAATGATTTATAGATAAGAAAATATACTTATACGTTAATCGATTGACTGAATCATTGAAAATCGTAGAACTTTTAATCTATTTCAATTATTGCTATTGATGCTATAGCAAGCCTAAACAAATCATTTTTGTGTTCAAGTCTATTGATTCTATCTGATAGTGATGCTTATTTGTTTACAAAACATTCATTATTCATTGATTTACATGTGAAGTAGAAAAATGGATAGATGCGGAAAAAAAATTATGTTAAGAACTAATTATGATCAGTTTCAGTTGAAAATAATGTAGAATCCAAAGAAAAAAGTTTCTTTCATATTTTCATTAGATGAGAGTTCTCAAAGTTCTATTTTTTAATGCAGTGCGAAGCACAGCAATCATGTAGTCCTACACGTACTTGTTTCGCCTCCATACTTTGTGTATTTTTCGCTGTAACAAAATCTGTAGTTGGTGTCATAATGATCTAGAGAACGGCGAATTGTTTCATTCGTTTTCGGTAAGTTTCGTAAAACGGCAGTTTTGATCATCTGACCTCTATCTTTTACCCGATATAATTAAAGATGTTGAGATAGTCTCCAGTAAACATCAAAGTTGTCGTTTGGTATTGCGATGATCTCGAGAACAGAAAATTACAAAATACTCATTCAAAGGTGATATGAAAATATCGCGATGCAACTTATACAATTTTTTTCAAACCATTTTAGAACGTTCCCTTCGCTAACAAAGAGTGTCTGGAAAAAGCAAATTTTTCAAAACTAGGTTGTTTTTCGTTGTGAGATAATTAAAATGAAGAACACAACAAAATTTAGACGTAACTAAATGATTATCAATTTCTTTATGTGCCATAAATTCTGTAAATATTCATTGTAATCGTATTAATAATTCTTCAAAATCATTTAAACTTGTAAAAGATTATTTTAAATTGAGTCTTATGTCAAACTACTTCTGAAATACAACAATTTAATAATCTTCTTATTCGACTATGAGAAAATGTGAATATAATTTAATCCATGAAATACGATTGGTACTATTGCCTTTTTTTGTACCTTTCACTGCATGCAATTGAAATCTACATCAATATGTATGTATGACTGAGAGGAGAGTAAGTAAAATTTCATTGATCGTTATTTAGCTATTGTCGATATAGATTGAGCACAACAATTAAAGATGTCGTTAATCGTAACCAAGACAATCTGCGTTAACGTACATATTTCATTGATTCGGTATCTCAATCACAGCATGTATGTAATCTTTCACTAGTTTTCTTTTGAAGAAAGCAACAAAAGTTGTGCACCATTCTTTTCTCATATGTCAAACAATTGTGAGCCAAGTTGATTATAGACCAAAGATCATGCAGGTAATCAAATGATCAATCAATATCGTTCGTTAGAAATATGTTGATACGCTTTGATAGAGTTCTTTTAGTGATGAATTTTGTCATATCTCCCTTTCAATTACTTTTCTACTTCAATCAGCTGATCGGTCGAAACGTGAAGTTTAGAACCCTCAAGGGGCAGAAAAAAACGCTGATTCCAGTAAAATGTAAAGGTCGGTTGAGAAAAATCAATTTTTGAAGAATCGTAAAACAAATCATTCTTCTTTTACTATATCCAATTTTTCCTGATATTTGAGATTCATGCTTCGCAACGCATTTCGTATTCTAGTGTCGCTCGAATACCATCTAGTTTCATTAGAAATGTTAATAGTAATTAACAACGTTGAGTTTTTGTTAGATCAATTCTGCTTTATTTCGCATACTGATCTAATCAATCATAATCCATATGTTCAATCTAGAAGATCAACAGCTTTTCCTTTTTTTTTAAATTTTTCTCTGCGAATATTTAACTAAGTTACTACGTGCATTCGAGTGCATATAAACGACTGATTATGTATACTCAAATAGAACGTCAACAATGTGCACTCAGGTAAATATAGTCAAAATATAAAACATTACTTAATCTTAAAGTTTTATATCTTGTTTATACCTATCTGAGCGTACATAGCCACTTCCAATATTTAACATTTCGAATATTTAAAATAAATTGCAACAAGTCATTACATTTAATGATCGTAGAAAACAATAATTGTAAAATTGTTATTGTATGAAAAAAATTAATCATATTTTTTCTTTTTGTGAATTGAATAAAGAAAATACAACAATTAAGCTTATATTTCAATTTACATTTTTCAGTTCAATATTCGTAACATCTAGGAAAATTCTAATGAAACAAATCACAATGATTGTGGTGAAATAATTATTACTACATGCGAGAATGTCAAAAGTTAATTTGTGATTCTAACTCCTATTTGGTATGATGCGAAGCACAACATTTATGTAGTTCTTCCTGAGTGTCTTTTTTATTTACTAGATGTAAGCATCGAACGTTTATAATCAAAAAATAGTAGTTCAAATGCGAGATTAAAATATTGAGATTGAATCACTATATATCTATTTCTCGGTCTTCAGTAAGAACTTTCATTCGTTTGCAAGTAGCCACGAGAAGAGGGAAATTTTCACGAACTTTGTATTTTTCTCAACATTCGAAATAATTAAAATGAAGATAGCAACAAATGTTGGCCGCCATTCTGTATGAAAAAAATGATTTTATACATTGCAGTTTTAGGCCACATTAGAAGCATGTTGATATCTGCTGTTAATAGAGTTCTCTTATGAGGGAACTACTCCAACTATAATCCGCCTTTTAAACTCATATCGAACCCATAAGAAGATTTCAGTAACACTAGAAAAATCCGAAAGCAGTTCATGTTCATGAGTTTTTGAAGCAGATTTATAACCGTTTTACTGAATTATCGACCCATCTTTAAGTATTAACTGAAAAACCAAATAATGGAATCTCAACCTGGAATCTAGCTCATAGATAGATTTAATGACGTTTAGAATATCCTGAAAGCTTCAGTCAAAAAGAATGTTGTTTTGTCAAGATATTGAATTTTTAACAAATATTCGTTTATACCATAGACACGTCACGAAAATCTAGTTTACTTGGAGATTTAATATGTCGATAAAGAAACATCATTTTTGGTTTGAAATTTTCAGGATAATAGTGTCAATGCATATTGCGTTATCTTTGAAATATTGCTAATTTTGTGAATATATTCTACAGATACTTCTACTTTTCACATGAATAATGCAGACAAGCACAACACTTGATATTACTTGAATATTTTTTATAACTTAAATAATTTTTAAGCATTATCTTCTTCTTCAGTTAGATAAAAAAACGTATAAGGAGTAGAAGATGTCTATTCAGTATTTTAATTAATTTTGGCTAACAAAAGAATTTACGTTGGCAAATTTTTTTTTCCAAATGAAATTTATTTACAATTGTCATTCTAGAAGAACTTATTAGGTACTGGAATATTTTTTCCCACTCAGAGTATTGCATATTATTTTAGTAATAATTGAAAGTGAAATATATAATGTCAAGTCAAACTTTTTAATGCTCTTCTCACTTATTTTTTTCCCACTAATCCTATAGAATATGAGACTCTATTTATATAAGGGTACACTGATCAATTTACTTTTCTGTTGATGTGACTACCATAAAATTTTTTTTCTCGCTTCATCTACTGCCGCAAGCAAAACGTATTTCACAACAATATTTTTGCGGCATTCATATTGCGTCATAAAGAAATAGAAAGAAAAGTAACAACCTTGAAATACGGTATGTGGTGACGTGTTAGTTGGATTTTTCACTCATTAATAGTCGAAAAAAATTCCAGTTGCAATATATACATACAGGTGTCTTTTCTTCATTAAGATTATACTTCTTCTTCGACACAAATTATAAAACATGTTTAGTTGTAAACAAAGTTAGGTAAAAGTTCATATAAAATCAAGATAGTGATTGAATATATAAACTTTTAACAAAAATAGTTGGTATCTTTTTTATTCATTTTTTTATCTTCAGTATTTTGAGATATTTTTTCATCTACAAATATGGACATACAAGTACAGTGTCGATTTAAACATATACCATTGAAGAGAGACGGTGAACAAATTGCTACCAATCTAAAAACGTATGTTTTTTTTATTGTTTCACATTCTTATATTTTTAGTATTTTATTCATATTAGTTTTGTAAATCCAAAAGTATTTGATGAATCAGGTATAAAAAATTGTGGTAAAGGCGGAAATGATACGATTGATTTTAAAGTTACTCGTAAAGAAGTCAATGAAATTCGTAATAAACTTGCTCAAGTATTACCAAGTGACAATTCACCTGTTTGGTTTAGTATTCTTTCGGATCCTCTTCATGCACTTATATCACGTTCATTAATGACGACTGATGATATTCGACATGAAGGATCAAGATTTTCTGTATCATGTCAATTCGGCTCACTTCGATCATATAATCAGTTTTATTCACACGTTCCATTTGATAATAAAATTGTTGAAGTTTCATTTAAGCCGGGAGGATCAATACCAAATAGTCTATATATTGAATATGATGACATACGCTTAGTGATTCCATTTGATTCAATTCAAAAAAGAAATATTTTAGTGAATAAAGAAAATGCAAATAATGGAGTCTATGTATTACTATCGCTTAAATATTTACCAAACATTTATCAATTGGTATCAGTGAAAAATGAAAACGAAATTGATGAAAATTCAGATAAGAAACAAGTTCGGTAGGATTATTAAATCGATTTGTTGTTTTCTTCTTAATCATTTTTAATTTTCAGACTTTGTGCTGATGAACGAAATGTTGCATTTATTCAAGAAATTGCTCATTGTTCTGATGTGGTTTTTCATTTTCCACCATCTCCAGATATGCCTTGGCTGTTTCTTTCTCATTTTTTAATATCTGATCCAAATCTATATGAAATTAATTTTTCTTGTTTCAAAATATCTGATTGGTCAACAGAAAATAATAAAAACCGAAGACCAGATCCATTCAATTATAAAAATGCTTCATTTCAAGATCGTTATAGTTTACAAATGCTTATTTCACTTGGATATGTATTTCGAGATAAATGGGCACAATTAACTGATCAAGAATTAAATTGGAATAAATGGGATATTAATGAACGTGATACTTTATGTTGTTTTGCTCTTGAACAATTGCGTAAAGATCATGGATATGATTTAATACGAACTGAAAATGATTATAATGAAACAAGAAAAAAATCAAAAAAATCTAATAATGATCTGGAGGAAAAGGCTATGTTAGTTGACGATAGACAACGACTTAAAGTTGCTTTTTGTACATTAACACCATTAAAAATTATTTTTCAACCATTTGAAGTTACAACGGGAAGTCGAGCTTTAAGAAATCCTGTGTAAGTTTATTTGATAATTGATGTTTTTCTTTTTTATTAATATTAATATTAATAATATTTATATAGATTTGGTGGTGTTGAACGATTTCTTCTTGTACACTTGCGTGATGAAGATAATCGACTATTACGTGTTTCTAATAAAAGTATCGAAAGAAGAGTAAGAAATTCAATGCAAAATGGTATTGAATTATTTAATAAAAAATATATATATATGGGTGCAAGTACAGGTCAAATGAAAGAAATGGCTTACTGGTTCATGGATTTACCTCCTAGTATAAAGAATATTACAGAAGCACACAAAAAGCTAGGAAGTGTTGAAGAAATTAAAAATATTGCTACTTATATTGCTCGTGTTGGCCAATATTTTTCCTCTACATGGCCTATTAATGTAAATATTAATTTTTCGAGACTTTTTCTGTTTTATTCAAGAATTAATATGTATAATTTTATTTTGTAGATTAGATTGACGGAAGTAAAGCACAAAAATGCTATCCGTCCAAATGGTGAATCAAATTATGTTTTAAGAATTGATGATATTGAAAGAAATAAATATTGTTTTACTGATGGCGTCGGTAAAATATCATGGGGTTTAGCTGGACGTGTAGCTCAGAAAATGAATATTCCAATTTTTTGCCAGGTTTGTTTAAAAGATTCAAATTTAATATATATATATATATATATTATTTTATTTTAGGAAGATATCCCATCAGCATTTCAAATACGTGTAGCTGGTTGTAAAGGTATGGTAGCTATTGATCCAGAGTCAACATTAAATGACTATTATATTCATGTACGTTCATCAATGATTAAATTTGAAAGTGATGATTGGAATTTAGAAATATGCGAATATGCTCGACCAAGTAAGATATTAACATTTACTGATTTTTACTTTTATTTAATTACACTATTTGATTGTTTAGTGCCATTAACATTAAATAATCAAGTAATTCGACTTTTAAGTGATTTAGGAAATCCTGTCAGTGCATTTATTAATCTTCAAAACCGAGGTTTTACTCAATGGGAAGTTCCTGAAGAACAACAACCAAGTTCTATTGATATTGGAGTACAGAAAAATATATCTTATTCATTATCGTAAGTAATTCGTTTTTTCTACGAAAAGAGGCTTGATTCACCTGGCTCTAGGCAAACAGGATAGCGATATGCACATAGATGCATCTAGCTATAAATGTGTGTTAAATAAAGTATTAGATAAATGCAACAAGTGACTTGGCATATGACAGCAATTCATTTCACAAAACCAACGCTTTTGTAATATAAAACTCGGTTTTTATGCTTATAAAAAAAGCTGATTTTGAGTATGTTACACTTCATTGATTAAGTTCAGTTTATATGTCTAATATTATTGGTTTTTCTGCTAAAATTTTGTCGAACTTTTTTATCGTGGGACTGTTGTAAGTGGATTCGTTTTTATTGTGTAATACTCTTCTCAAAACTTTTTTTAAATATCTACTGATATATGTATCTATATCGAACTATTGAATTTCTATGAATGATATATAGTCATAAAGTGCTGTATGAGATTTTATAGATTTCATACTCTAAGTTTGAATATTTTAAACAAAAACCTTGAAATTGAACACGTTTCGTTTTTTTCATTAATTCATATTATTCTGTTTGTTGTCTGTGTTCGGAAGATCATGTATGTTATAGATACATATATTCATTTACTAAGGTAAAATAGAAATCAAAATAATTATTGATAAATAGTTATATACGTGTTATTTTTGTTTTAAAAAAATGAATATCAGATTATTCACATACTGTTATTATAGTCAACCATAATTTTATGTTCAGATTCCCTTTCTAACTGTTAATAATTATTACATCACATTTTCATGTACACATCATTGAACAATTGATGGAACCATTCAGTAGTATAATTACAATGGCGATCACTTCTAATAGAATTCCAGATCTGACAAGTATGCTCGTGAATCATTGTTTATTGACGTATTGCATGGCTCAGTGTTGCGATCGCATTTGAAGACTATATACGACATGGAGAAATATGGTCGTGATTCTCAGCCATGTAATACACCACAATACAATCGCATACAACGAAATACAGAGTGTGTAAGGTTGTTGTGCAGTGTACATGGATTTTGAATTCTTCATCCTGGGATAATGGTCTTCGATTAATTTGAGTCATCATGCCTACATTCGAAAAAAAACGAATTCTGTTACAGAACCTAAACAGATTCTTCGTGCGAATACAAACTTGGAACCTTTTTTTTATTTCACACTAAACCCAAAAAGATTCAGTACGAAGATTACAATAGCTTTTTAAAGACTCGTGCAGTGAAGAAAGCTTTGTGCTTTTCGTACGGAACCGTTTTGGATTTAGTCCGAAATCGAACAAGATTCCCAGTTTGCGTCCACTCAAAGAACTTTGCTAGATTCGGTAACAGAAATTCTTTTAGACTCTAGGTGTTCTATGTCATCCTACACAGTCATTGGTATTAGAGGGTCGTTTAGACCATAATTATTATATAGTAACTAGATTGCAGAGATATAGACAGAGAAACACAGGTGACTTTTCGTTTCTAGATCCAATTCCTTTCAGTATACACCGTAAATTTCAATTAAATTTCATTTTCTAAAAAAACTGAGTTAGCAAAAGCTCAAACTTTTTCAAATCATTATTAATCGCTGAACGATTTTATAATTTCGATAAAAAGTTATTTTCGAACGAACTGAAAAACTAACAACAATTTTTAAAGATATTTGAAAATGAATCTTCAGTTTCATAGAAAATCAATCTAGACTATAACGAGGATAAAATCGATGTGTGCTAGCTTGTTACATAATAATGAAAACAAAAAATAAATTATTTTCTATTGATTATTAAGGTTAGTAAATATAATTTTATTTTTACTGAAAATATTTCTCATATTTCTAACTTTTTTGTTGTTTTTGAACTATATATTGTCCCTCGTATGTCTTTCTTGCGTTCTAAATTGGTTGTTTACTTTTAAATATTTTCTCCATAACACAAGCGTTCGTTTTATATAAATACACTTCTACTAGGACTTTTGCATACTAATTAAGTACATAAAAGCCATTACCTAGTAGCTGTGATGTTACTTTCGATATATGTATACAAAAATCTTTCTAAGATAATTGTTTTCTTTTTGATATTTTTAAAGTATAATATCTCTGGTTATGCTTAATTTTTTCGCAATTCTATATATGCTTTTGGCCTATAAGTAGAACTAAGCCTATAAGTGACATCATTATACAGAGGAAAGAACAATTTATAGTTAAGATGAAAATTGAGAATAGATATTCCATTTTTCGGAAAATATGCAGAATATGAAATAGAGTTTAATTTCTAGAACTGTCAATATTCGAGATGTCCATTGTAGCTGAAAATCTGTCGCTACTTTGATGGTTGCTGAGAAACTCTTCGAAAGTCTCTTGTGCCATTGTTCTAGATTAGCGCAGTTAGATTGAATCATGCAGATTCATCACGATTTTAACTGTTGGATTTTTCAACACTTAAATCGGGTACAAATTCATGTCATATGACAATCTCACTAAAAGAAAGAAGCTACTATTGACACTGCCACGATGGTGACAGCGCCGCTATCCAAGTCGATCAAAACAGATATTGTTTACGTTCCTTTTTGCGTCAATAAACGGGGAAAAAGGAGTAACTATACGGTAGTAAACTAACTGTATTTTGTTATAATTCTGGACACAGTAATATTGCACCATATACGATATCGTGTTTTCACCGTATACAATCGTCTATGTGCCGTAGTCTCACTACAGCAGGGCCGTATTTTTGCATCAAGTATTATAATGGTGTTAAGGTCGTTTATATATCGTATTTTCACCGTAAACGGACGTACACGGACAGTATTTTTTGATCTGAGTATGGACATCTCTGGTCTATATGAATAAGATCATGATTTTCTAAATAGAAAACCGAAACTTGAATTTCGAACTTTCTTGAAAATCATACTTTAAAAAAAATAGAAATTCATTGTCAAATTTGTATGAGCATTCTGAGAAAATCATATTATGTTTTCGATAACTAATTTTCTATTTTACAGCGGAGAGAATAGAGAAATAAGCAAAATAATTTATTTTAGAAAAGATAATTTACTCACAAATCGTATACCTATCCCACCAACAGATGGTCGAAATTTATTTGGTATAGCGGATGAAACTGGTGAATTAGAATATGGTCAATGTTTCATTCAGTATTCAACATTAAATTCAACTACGAAAGGTCAACAAAAATTTCACGTTATTACTGGTAAATTTTGGATAAATACTCGACATATATTTCAAGTCTTTTTTACTTCGTTAAGGTACAGTAATTGTTACAAAAAACCCATGTTTATGGCCCGGTGATTTCCGTCGATTAACTGCTGTTCGTAATGATAAACTAGAAGAATGTATGCGTGATGTTATTGTTTTTCCAACTAAAGGAGAACGTCCACATTCAAATGAAATATCTGGTTCAGATTTAGATGGTGATCAATATTGGGTTTATTGGGGTGATAGTTTAAATATTGAGAAAACTACAAATCCATTATCATATAGTGGAGCAAAAAAGTTAGAAGTACCATCAATTACGCCAGAAATAATCATTGAACATATTATTAAATCCTTTGGAGCTAGTATAATTTTAGGCATGATTGCAAATACACATACAGTTGCAGCTGATAAACATCCAGAACATTCATTTTCAGGCGATTGTAAAAAATTAGCGGAATTATTTTCATTTGCTGTTGATTCACCAAAAACAGGACAATTTATTGATATGCAACAGATCAGACCTTTTCAAAAGAAATATTGTCAAGATTGGCCAGAATATATGAGAAAATATGCTGAACGAACATATATATCAACAAGTGCATTACAAGTACTTTTTACGAAAGCTAAAGATAACTATTTTAAATGGAGAGAAAACCCTATAATCAATAGATTTCCGCAAAGAATGAAAGCCATTAAAGGTGCATCAGCTAATGATATTAAAGATGAAGGATTTAAAAAATGGATTGATGGCGGTATTTATCAAGAAGATGCAAATCGAAAGAAACCTCCTAGAAGAAAAAAACCTAACAAACTTAATAAAGACGATTCATCAAGTGATGAAACATCAACTCCACCGTAAGATTTCAAAGTATCATTTTTCTTTATTTTCATAATTATTTATTTAAAATGATTTCAGACCGATTCTGACAAACTCTACCAAATCTTCTATAAAATCAGATGAAAATTCACAACCAGAAATTAAAAAGCGTACTAGAAAACCACCACAAGATAAATTGAATCGACCAGAAACACCTGTAACAGTAACGCCTGCAACCAATCTAAAACTAAAGAAATCTTCAGAGTAAATTTGTTTAGTTTTACTTTTACAATCAATTTTTCTTATTGTTTTTAGGACAGAAAATGCTTCTTCTTTAATAAATTCCAGTGTTTCTCCACCATCTGCTTCTTCATCAATAACTTCATTGTCATCTTTAGCAACACCTAACATTGGTGAATGTCGTCCAGATTTTCTTATGGCTGTTGATATGAATATTACAGATGCTAGTGTTGTTGAGTTTTCTTCAATCGGTAAAAACTTTTATGTAGTTAATACAAAGAAAGAAATTAACGAAAATCCCGATAGAGAAAGTATAAAAAACAAATTAAAATTATATATGGGAAAACAGGATGTTTTTAAGAAAAAACCATCGACTTATAAGGAAATAATACATGGACCACTTTATTTAACAGTTTTCTACGGTCATATATATTTTATTGAACAAAATGTATTTCCTAACAAAGTTGGTGACTTAAAAAATTTTATTCAAGAAAATAGCAATCAATTCATTCGTTTTAATTACGCCAACATTGATGAATTAAATATCCGAGATGTAAGTTTGAATTAAATAATATTCATATCAATTTTTTTCTCTCACTGGATTATTTAGACAACATCATACTCAACGACAAAGAAAAATAGAATAGACTATGAATTTGATTGCCGTGTAGCATCATCTTCATCCGAGTATTTTACATTATTACATGATAAAAATAAAACTCTTCGACAAATACGTGTATCTCACGTATGGACAAAATGTTTTGTGCGCCAACCAAATTTTAATGTAGATAGTTTATATGAAATTCGCTCTGTAATGACACATGACTTAGACTCACCAGAATTTTCAAGAATTAGGAATTTAGTTTTTAACTCTCAATCAACTGCATTATTAAGTGGTCATAAACAAAATATTAAAATTGATCGTAGTATTTTTCATTCGTCAATCGCACCAATTGGTCTTAAAATTATCGAAGAAGATCAACAAACTCATATAGATCAACCGACAATTGAAAGTTTTTATCGAAAAGTACGATATGTATCAATAGATGAACAACAAGAGAAACCAAAAGTAGCGTTAACTATGGAATATCATGTTTCACCGATTAATAAGAATGAAAACGTTTTGGAAAATGTCTGTGATTTTGCTTTTGCTCCAACCGAAAAAGTTTCATCAATGCGAACAGACTCAGCGTCATCAACCACATGGAGTATCTCAAGTTCATTACTTGGATTTTCACCATATTATCATTAGTAAAACAAATTTTTTAAAATATGAACAGCAAATAAATAACAAGAAACATTTGCTGCTTATAGAAGAATTTTCCTGATACTTGTTTTTGATAATAAAGAAAAGGATAACATTGCATAATATTTCGATTTATTTGTATATAACATAGAGTCTCGAAACCATGATTCTACTTAAAAACATGATTAATATTATTTCTTTTTGTCAAACCCATAAAAGAATATTAACATACGATCTAATTCAGTGAACATTGTAAGATAACCGAACAAATATATTCGTCATTGTTTCTTTCATTTTCTACGTGAAAAATAATATAGCAATTAATTCATCTGTTTTTATACGAATGAAGTCTTGGAACTTCAGATTATATTTCGATTTATTTTATCTTTTAAGTTTCTTAGAACGAAAGTGAAGTTTAATGATTTTCCCTTATCATTCGTCTTATCTTCAGAAAAATGTAAAAATAACTTTCTATTTTATATAAGAACTGTAATGCTCTTTATGAATAATATTTCCCATGGGCTGTCTAAAACAAGCGAATAAATCAAAATTCAATAGTTAAAAAAAAACAAATTTCAAATATGCAAATGATTATTGGTTCGCACGTCATGGATGTTTCTACTATGTCAAACTGTAGAGTATCTGTGCAGATCGACTATGAAATGAAGCGAAAGTTTACGCGTGTCATCTAACGAGGGAACCTTCCCGACTGTCAAATCGTTTTTTGGATGAAACCTACTGGGTTCTAGGTTATCGACTATGCTGATTCCGAATATGGATATGAGAAGTGCCCTTAGGCCTTTATAAGGGGTGGGGGTAGAGAAAACCGGTTTTCCGGGCTAAACATTTTTTTCATCAAATCGATTTTTTGATCAATCCAATTTGTAGAGCATATTAAATTGTCTACGANGAGGGTATGCTACAAGTTAAATTCCGCCCGAGCTTGTTCGCTTGTATCCTTATTGTAAAATCCTTTCCCGCGTACAGGGTGTTTTTGACCAATAAATTGACTATAACTCATTAGTTTATTGGAAATTTGGGGGAGATATTTCACTCATAATCTATCCTATCCTAGACTAATATCCTCCACAAATTTGGGTGAAATCGGACGAAAAATAACAAAGTTCGTTTCCGAGGCGGGCCCCCCTTAAGAAAAAATAATATATATATATATAGAAAACTGCGTTATTTAATGAAAAATGACTGATTATCAATAATAAAATATTTTTTTTAAAATTCTTTTAAATAAATATTCTCGAAAATGATCTTGATTAGTTTTGTAAAATTGAATATATCTAGTTCCAATCGATGTAACAACTCAACGTCTAATGATAACTCGTGCATATGGTGGTATTCGATTAAAAGATATAATTCGTCAAATTTATATAGAATCTGGTGATGGTATTCGAGGTTTTTATAAAGGTTATTTAATAACATTATCAATGTCTCTTCCATTTAATTCAATTGTTTGGACACTTTATTGGAAAATTCAATCACAATTTGAAAGAATTATTTCAAGAAACTATGATTATATTGTAAGTCCATCGTCAGCAACATTAGCTGCTTTGTTAGCATCATATATAACACAACCAATTGATGTTTTAAAAACACGTTTACAAGTCGCACTTAAAAAAGAATCAATTTTAAAAACATTTATCATTCTTATTCGACAGAGAGGTTTTAAAGGACTTTTTGCCGGTTCAATTCCTCGAGCATCAATTATTGTCCCAAATACAGTTATTATGATGTCTCTTTATGAAATAATTAAACGTGCTTCAGCCAAATCTAAAACTTAATACTTTTTAGTATTTATTCAATCAAACTATTTAGTCATACTTACTTTGTCCCCTAGCCTTTTTTTAAATTTATTTAAAAATTAAATTCTTTCTTTTATTTATTTTATAATTAATTTGATTTTTTAAAGTGTGGGTGTGGGTGTGGGTGGTGTGGATGAGGGTGTGGGTGGTGTGGATGAGGGTGTGGGTGGTGTGGATGAGGGTGTGGGTGTGAATGAAAGCAAAATGAACACCCACACCCACACCCTCTTTGTTAGCCCTGATAATAAGCATTTCTATACGAAAAACTTTTTCGACTTCATCTAACTTTAATTGCACAAACTATTTATTTCTAAAAATAGGTTACAGTTTCTTGTCTATTGTTAATATTATTTTAACAAAAAACTCTTTTTATACTATTAGTTAGGACATATTTGCTTTTTAATTGTAATTTTATTTCAATTTTTTTTCTGAAGTGTATACACAGACAGATAGGATATTTTCATTTGTAACAATTTGCCATCCAATAACTATTTTCAATTATTCTTTATTACTTCTATCTCTCTGTTTCAATGCTTTAATTCTATGTAAATCAATCTGCTTTTGTTCATATTTTATTTAAATAACAAAATTAACAATAATCAATCTATTCGTATGAGGAAAATAGTCTTTTATATGTTGAGGAATTTGTTGTTTTCCAGTAGAAAAGTTGACAGAATATCCAGCATCTTCTAATTCTGTACATAAATTTGCGTAATTAATTTTCTCACAATTATTTCTTGTTCTATTTCTTGAGAAATTGCGTGTCACTTTTTTCACTAGTTCATGATCCATAAGAACACGAACATCAAATGGTAAATAAGTTATAGTATCGCATAAGAATTGTTCATAATAATCTATGCAACTTTGAATAAGATCAAGTTGTTTAAGATAAGGATATTTAATATTGATGAATTTTTTGATTTTCTAAATTGTTTATTAATTTGTCGTTTTTCATTACGTACAGTTAATTCTTCCATGAATGGAAATGATTTTTGAATTCGAAGAAAAAATTCATGTTCAAAAGGTCGTTCATCAAATAATGATACTTTACGCACATATATAAGTATTCCACCTGGAAAATTATTCGTTATATCATCGTAATATTTCAGTGTATATGGATATGAATAAATATGACAATAACCTTTTTTTGTTTTGGAAAATAATCAGTCCAATAGATAATTTGTTTATCTTTAAAATCTATAAATGCCTTTTGAATATCTTCATTTGATGGTAAATTAATTTCATTATAAAAACTACTTAATGAATGAATATTAAATGTGAATTTGTTTAATTGTGGCATATGATTAATAATATTCATCTTCAAATCATTCCCATCAAAAAATCTTTTTCTTTCACCAACATTAATATACAAATCAAGCTTTTCTAAATTTGACATTCGATGTAAAAGTGGTACAACTAATTCATCATAAAAAAATATTTTCGTATTACAGTGTAACCAAAAGGATTTTAAAGTAGGTAGTTTTTCCTAAAAAAAAACCAATATTATTAATTCATTTAAATTAGATATTAATTGAATAAAAAATTTACCGGATTGTTGACTCTTCTATTCATAAAGTTAATCACATTAACATCAACATAAAGTGTACGAAGTTGATTGAAATGTCCATCAAATAAAGACAATCATAAAAAGTTTGCAAGCAAACATGTAATTCTAACAAATTTGTAGAGATAACAGTTGAAAGTGTCAAACAAAAGAATAATCGGTCATCACACATTGAAGATCGACCAAAATTTAAAAAATATTGTAAATTATTGAACATAGTAAAGATACGATTAAATATAATTGCATTACCCTTTACTGAAAAATGTTCTGTTCTCGGTGTACTAACATCGATAGTAAGTGATAAAAGTTGATTTTTTCAATGTATGAATTACGGAAGTTTCATCTAAACAATGAGACGATTAAACAATCATTAAAAATTATTTTATATGAATGCTTGTATTTATGTATACTTTATTCGATCATCTCTTTAGTGACAACCTTCCTCTCTTCATACTAACAAATATGAATCAAATGAAAAATCATTTTGAACTTGGTAACATCTGTAATCATCTAATCAATGAAACGATAAATTTATCCATGAATTTATTTCATTTATAGATTTAATGTGTCTATTATTCAAAGAATAAAAAATATCTTACTCGTAAAAAGATCTCTAGCTGTTTTTGCTTGAATATTATGTAAACTAATTCCATATAAATTCGGATAATTTCTAGCACGAAGAATACGTTCCATTGATCGTGATTCAAGATGAAGTCATTGGATTTTTTGATGAATTTTAGGTAAAATATATGAACAAAATCGATCAAGTATTACATCAGATAATGAATAAACCAAACCATTCGATGTAGACATCAGAAAAGATAAATCATTCGTAAAAATAGAGTCATGTACAATTTTATTTAATCGTTTATTGACACCTGATAAAGAATAAAGTACTTCCACATTAGCCAATTTTTTAAAAATAATCATAAGAATTTCATCTGGTAAATCATTCAATTGAATATATGAATATTCCATGTTCATCTATATCTATATCTATATCTATTTTGCTCATCTCATAAATGTCAGTATTTATATTGACATGCTCAAATGTTCTATCTGACCGATGTTGTCCATAGAAATAATGATACATTTTTGTATAATCTAAATTGACGATGAATGAATTGATAATCAATCGAATAATACTTTTCTTCTCTCTGTTCCGTTGACTGAAGTGGCAGTCATATATGAAAAAAAAATAGATGTGTTTGTATGTAATCATCAATTGACCTGAATATAATGGAATTAATTTTTTTCTAAAGAATACTTTATCAAATTAATCTTCATAAACATTAACATCAGTCATAAAACCTGAAAAAAGTGTTAATTTATATCAATCAAGTTCAATTTTTTTATCAAATGAATAATAATTTCGAACAAGTAATTTCAAACCAGCACACAGTGGGGAGCCAGGCGGACATATGCGAAAATATTCTTTTACAGAATCTAACTGTTTGCGTAGATACATGCATATGTGATCTATCATTTCCTAAAATAGCGGTTCTCAATGTTTTATAGAGTCCAAGAAAAGAGCTTGCCAAGGCGCTAGGCCCAGAAATCAGTATAAATAAAGAAAATCAAGCCGCTCGGCAATATAACACAATATTCCATAAGCAAACAATATCGCAAAAAATGTGCTCACCTATGGACTTTACGGTAAAAAAAAGAATCGTAATCCAATTTAAAATACAGTAGAAAACAAGGAGTCTCTATACCGAAATCCTACCCAAAAACCTACCGTTCCGTACATTAAAAACCCTACAAAGGAATCACGTCTTATCAAGAGGGTATTTTTACCACATATACATACATATGTATCATAATTACTGTAGTAGCGCCAACTCATGAAACCTTTCCTAGGCTATTTTAGAGGGTGCCCAAAAATCCGAGGTATCCAGACGAAAATTCGATTTTAGACATCTGTGATAGACTTTGAAGGGAAACTAAGGTGATATTCGGAATCAGCTCGTCGAGCTGTATCGAACCATACATATATAATAGTTTTTAAAAAACTTTTTGACCCATTTTCAAAGCATATCCAGATCCGAATCCCTGCCGTTTCGAACTTTGAAAACCCTACGAAGGGATAACGTCTGATCGAGCTGAAATTTTTACCAGATACTCCTGGATATGTATCCTAATTATGCTAGTAGCGCCAATTCGTGAAACTTTTCCTAGGCTATTCTACAGAATTCCCAAAAACCCACGGTTTTTGGTCGAATATCCAGTTTTAGGCTTCCATATTACGTTTTCAAGAAAAACTAAGGTGATATTCGGAATCAACGCATCAAACTACATCGACTGATATGTAGCTCAACATATTTTTCAAAAAAAACATTTTTTCGAAAAAAAAAGGCTGAGGTTCCCCAGCCATATTTTTTCGAAGAACATTTTTTCTTAAAAATCCTTTTATTTTTTAAAAACGATTTTCTGAGTGGTATACTGTCATTTCTAGTCAAATGAAAGCCATTCCTAAGGAAAAAAACTGCATGCCCGCCTGCATATGCGAAAGCTCCCCACTGTGGGAACAAAGCTTAACGAAAAATTTCTAGAAAATTGTAGTTTTGACTTTTTTTCGCATTTTTTAGAATATTTTCGTGTTGTTGACATAAATAGATATGTATCGTTTTTTGTTTGTTCTATATTTATCTAAATCAATCCAATACAACTTCACATTTAACTGCATATACCAATCGGAACAACCAATGATTATCTAGTCTTTCTCACCCACTGTGAAAATAAACTTATTAAAATCATCACTATGATGAGTCAAATAAAAATCATGACTCAAGAATATATTAATAGATTAAACGTGTCCAGTCAAGCAGAAGCAATTGTTAAATTGTGACTATTACCTTCAAGTATATATATCGGGTGGGCCACAAGTCAGGTAACGGAAGAAAACTTGAGTATCTCTGTTATGGCTCGAGCAAACGGGCTAATTCTTTTTTTTACCACTAATAAAGCCATGTTTACACATTATATTCATAAAGACAAGCTTAGAGAGAACATTTTTTAAGTACTACTATTGCCTTCAACAAAAAAAATTTACTGTTGCATAGATAGGAAAAAAACAATATACTTAACAAAGGTTCTCTTTAGTCTTATCTTTATGGATATGGAATGTGAACATGCCTTTATTAGTGGTAGAAAAATCAGCCCGTTTGCTCGAGCCATGACTGAGATACTCAAGGTTTCTTCGGTTACCTGACTTTTGGCCCACCCGGTGTATATTTAAAAAAACTCCAATTATATATAATTTTTAAAAAAAAGTTAGCATGACACGTGATTAAAAATATCGCTTCTTTTTTATTATTGAATATCATGCTTCGGTTATTATTTTAGATCTTTTTTCTTCAAACTCATTTTAAATATTTTACAATAAAGACAAATAAAAATAAAAACATCATTTTGTCAATTATTTCTATTTCTATTCATAATTATAAATTTCTTTCAATGTCAAAATTGCTCTAATTCATTCAAGTATAAAAAAGAGATTTATCAAAGATTATACGATGCCACACAGCGAACATTATGATCATTAGTATCTCCACCCTGTTTTCAAATTTTATTTGATCAAAATAATATACAATCTCAATATATATCTCTGCAAGATTTATCTGGTCGTATTCTACCAGTTGAAACATTTCCAACAAAAGTTTTAGCTCTCAAATATTTATATGGAATTCTTTGTCTAATATCAAATTTACCACCACGAGAATATATTGTTCAAAAATATGATTTAGTACATATCAATTATGATAAAGAATATGTAATCACTCAAAATGAATTTATAACATATTTCACTGGCAATAAACGCTTAACTTTTTTTGCAAGTATGGCTTTTGATAAAGATTATTAATTATGTGGCTATGATGGACAAATACGAAATCTTGGATTAACATTAGAGACATGTACGGATGCAGAACATCAAGCAAAAATAGATCTCGTATGCGGTGTTATACAAAGATTCTGTAATGAAACATTACAACAATATTCAAGTATCAATGATTGTAAACAATATTTAATGACATAGATATCTTATGGTTTATATGATAGAGAAGATCAAGGAAATTTTGCTTGTCGTATTATTCATACAAATTTTGTTTCTCTATTACCATCTGTACATTGTCTACATGTTGATCCAACTGGAGGAGGAGGAGCATGTACCGATAAAACAATTGACTTTTATTATAATCAAACAAATTTTTCGGCTTGTGCTCATAAACATTAATAGGAAATAAGAACATTTTCTATTTTTAACTTAAAGATCTCAACTAAACATGTGAAAAATGATTCTGCAAACAAAATAGACTAATTGCAGCCATCTCTTTTAGTGCGACTTATTAATTATTGTTTTGTACTTCTTTATTAACTTAATACTCGAAGACCTGTTAGCACATCCCTTGAAAACTTATATGAACAACAGAATCTTTAGGTGTGAGAGTACGAATGATATCTGCATCTAATTTCAATATATTTATGTTTCTATTAATTTGGATTTTTTGACAAAGTGCTTGTTGAGGATTAGAATTTCACAACGTTACAAGAATTAGTAAATAATATCAGTATGTTACACTTTTTAAAACTTTTTTTGTAACACTGCTTGTAATATCACACAAATAAATAAAGATTCAATCATTGCGAAGTTTTCATTATCTTTTAAACTACAAGCATTGTCAATGGTTATTTTCTATGTGTTATTTAGAATGTGAGTTTTGAAACACAATTTAAATAATCAGCATTAAAGTGTACGTAATTGTAAACAAATGAATATTTCATTGTCTATTTGTTTATTTTAATTTTATTCAATGTTGTGAATACCAATGGATTCATTTTATTTACAGATACATTTCTCTACCAAATGATCGAGATAAAAATGATAAAGCATACGTTGTATATCTAATCTTTCTAATTATGCTAAAATATTGACTTTTTTCTCTTATTTGTTTTCTCTTTTAATATCAGATTAAAGAAAGAGAATATTATTAATAGACCACAATTAATAAATCTAGACTAATCAATCAACAATAACAAGAAACTGGAAGAAACAATGGAAAGAACATTGATTAGTTTATCAGTCAAAGTTCGTTCTACATGAATCTTGAGAGGATGGATGTGAATGTGAGAGAAGAGAACATCAACATTCACACCCATAAGAGGAAGAGCAAAATGAACATATACATCGAAGACAAAATAATCTAATGTTATCGTCGTATATCGTAGCAAACAGCTCTTATCGAAATTTTATTATTATGATATTTGTTCAGGAATAATCAGATATCACAGAAAAATATAACATTATTTTTACTGTGACTACATACTAAGAGTGTCTGGTGAAATGTTAGTGAATAAACTAATTGCAAGGTAAACTAATTCATCCGCCATTTATTTATCTCAAACATAAAACACAGTAAGCTTTCGACTTCTTTCAAAAGTTCGTAAAGAAATTTTCGAATACTATCTAAAAGAAACTCTTTCTTTTCTTTTATTTTGTTCTTTTCTAAATATTGCATTCCGCTAACATAAATTCTTCCCTTCACAGTACAACTTTTAGAGAAGAACAAACTGAAAGAATAAAAGAAAAGTTTCCTCATGTTTTCCGTACCGAAAAAAAGTACTTGCACGACTACTTTGGGATCGCTCTAAATATTATAATATTTTGTATAATTAATCGAACAGATACATTTGTCAATAAACTTCATTTTCTGTAAGACAATGGAAGAATATGATGCCGTATACGAGTGGATGGAGCAGGAGATTTTCAGAAGGATTCCGTCCTGTGAAAAAGAAAAACTCTTGAGGATTATCCCATCCCCTATGGGATAAAAAGTTTTGAAACGTATCCCATTTCATAGAACCATTTTTCCTCTATCATCTTGTCCCATGCGAAATCCTGATGCACATTCGAAAAATTTCTATTTGTTAATTGTCATTTAAAAATATAAAAAATTAGTTCCATAGAATTATTCTCTTACATAAAATCAATTCTTAATGTAAGATGAATACTCAATAAAAAAAAAAGAAAAATTTTCTTTCGCACTGATTGTTAAGCTGTTTGACATCTTGTATGATCACAGACAAGATAATCTTGTTAATTTGAAAAATTCTGATAGTTTGAAACTTGCACAAATTGAAATAGTTGACTCTTTCATTGTACGTTTATTTTCAAGACAATTAAGGCAAGTGTTGTGACAAAGGACTTTCATAGTTCACTAATGCTACATCTCTCTACTCAGAAAAACAATGATAATTTGTAATATCACAAGTTTGTTGAAATAATTGTTAATTTCTCCATAGAACTCCCCAGTATGTGTTTCATGTTGAACAACAGACGATCGATCATTTATCGTGAAATGGCGTCTATTCGTCGATTTCTTTTTATTTTTTTCCATAATGTTCGCAACTTTGTCAAAAAACGAATGTCAATTATTGTAATAAGAATTGGATCTAAAGCTATTTCTATATAACTCAATAAAGAAGTAAAAACGCCTGGGTCACTATTGACATCAATAAATTGACAAGCAAGGGTATCTGGACTCCATAAAATAAGCCAAATAGAATAAAATGCTACTGCTTTCAATAGAAGTATTCGTTGACGTCTACGACGATAAAGAATAACTTGTTCGCTTACAACACCTCGTATTGAACTAACATGACGTATACCAAGGCCTAGAATAATAATATTAGTGAGAAGAGGAATAATATAGATTACAAATAGATTAAATATTTGAACTGTTAATGATAAATATATAATGTCACAAGATCCATCAGTTCCACGCCGTATTCGTATCCAATCAGCAAGAAATGGAATCATAAGATTAAGTGCGGGTAAAGTATAAATAAGGAAATGTATCAATACAATTAAACGAGGTTTTTCTGTATAAATATTTCGATTAAGAACAATATGCATATACCGACAAATATTAAATGCTAATAGAAGATAACTTTGCATAGTATTGATATAAAACTTCCATGTTGCTTCAAAATAACACAAAACAGTTCGAAATGTTGTAAATAAGCACACATCTGATCGATGTATACCATACAAAATAAAGAATCGTGAAAGTAGAAGAAAACTAGTAACTAAATAAGCATAAAGCCACATCATATTTCGCTGCCGTAATGATGACCATGCTAATACTTGAATCCAAAATATACTGTGAATGATAACAGCAATTATAGATACGATGACAATAGGCTCTGATGAACGAACATTACCCGTAGACCAATCGAAAATAATACAAGATGTGGACATGATTACTGTGAATTGATAATATATAAAAATGTTTTCTACAATATGGTAATATACTCAGAGGATCAATTAAATGAATGTGACGTTAAACTAGAATATTATTTTAACTGTAATTCTAAATGAAGATCAAAACGTGCGATTATCAAAAGACAAGATAAACTATGAAAAGTCATTAAAAATGGGCTATTCCATCATTATTTTTATGCATCCTCGGCGCAAATGAATTCAATGAATAAAATATTGTTATTTCTTAAAACATGGTATGAATTTGTTGTCTGATGAGTATGAATGCGGCATAATTCTAAGCAATATTTCGAATTCGAATGACTTTTTAAGTCATGCAAAGATTATCGTTTTTTTTAAAGCGATTTTTAATGGAACTTGTCAACTTTTCTTGTCATTGAGTAGAGAAACGTTTGATGAATTGAATGATGCAAAAATCATTCAATTGTATTGGAGATTGACAGAATTATTAATAGCAATTTGCTAGTAACTAAATTTTTTCCTATTAGAACAAATGGTCTTAATAAGGAACACGCTGTATAAATAGATAGAAAATAAAATATCTTCCCTAAATGAATCTTTTTGCTACCTGAACACGAAAATTTCTCTATGCTTCCACGATAAAAAAAACAACATTCCTTAGTCGATGGTCTATATATATCTACAGTGTATTAAAGCGAATGGAGTTTTTCTTTATATCAATGACATCAATTTGAAATGATGACCTTACGATTAAAAGATTGAACATCCGCACCCTCAATCATAATTTCTTAGCGACGAAAAATATAACAATATTTCCTATGCATACATTCTTTTACGATTGCGCTGCTTTTGTTATACAAATAATTCTCAGAAAAATTTAATACATTATCGCAAATAATGGTAAGTTCGATATAAAATAGATTCCAAAGAGGATTATTATAAGTAGGAATCAAACAAAACTTCATTTGATTAAGTAATGGACCAAAAATTGAAAAAAATGGTTACTACTATTGGATTCATATTGATTTATGTATTTTAATATATATACATATCACAGGCTAAACTGAATTTCAGGGCAAAAACTGTTAGCGCAGTCCGTGAGTTATTAAAATATGAAACGCGAGGTACTCTTTCTTGCTAGTTATAGGAAGATTGTTTTTTATTTTTAATCCATTTTGGTATACATGTCATTATCCTTTCAGTTAATTCTCCAGAAACGGAATCAAGAAGCAGTTTATACGTTCAGTCATCCAGCATGACCTGTGATGAGCCGTTACTGACGTGTTTCTTACGTCTGCCGAGGAGGGAGATTAGGTTCAAATTTCTATCTCTGTACTTCAACACTTCTCGGAGATTGTTTCATTAAAAAGTTAGGTAGGCATCATTATTAACCTGATGTAAAAGTATGAAATAATTTTCTTGTAACTAAAAATAAATTCTAATTTTCATTTCTATGAAGAGAATATAGCACGTTTCTGTTACTCTTTTTTTGGAAATACTATTTATTTTCACTAATTGATAATCTAACGTATGCGTGAATGATTTCTGCGTTGACGTCAGAAAAAATGTCCGAACGTATTTTTATGAACAAGCAAAACAAAATTTTAATTTTTTGAGTATCGAATCGCAAAAGAAGATATTTAATATTTTACCACAGGAAATATGTAAGGTAAAAAGTTCTTTATCGTTTTTGACCAGAACATAGACCAATAAAACTTAACAACATAATATAATCATACTTTGCATTTGATCTATGAGCCAGTTGAAATTTGAAGGCAATACAAGATCGTTGAAAAAAAAACTACTCAAATAAATATCATTTTAATGATTCTTTTTTATTTTGGTCGGAGCTCGCTCTGACAAACTAGATTTCTATTGAATATACTTGCGAATTCTACAACGTTTTTGATTCAACTAGACTTCAGGTAAAGCAAAACATAATGTGATATAAATATGTAAGCTAAGTTCTTTATTCTCATCTTTTTCAGTTCATTTTTGATTTTGGATCTTTTAAAAACTTTGCTGAATTTTTGTGCAAATCTGAAGTTTGTCTGATACATATGTTCTGAGTAGGAAAAATAAGTGGTTAATAGAAAGCATTCGAAGTGTCTGCTCTCGTAAATAATATCAACCGATATTGGGACAGAAAAAAAAGAGTTACTATTGGGAACGATATAATCATTCAATTCACCTGTCATGTACAAGAAACTAAATGGTTTGATGAAGCTTGTTTCAAAAAAGGACGAATGAGATGAGGAAAAACATTCAATTTCTTGGTATCAACAAGAAAAAACTTTAGTAGAAATGACAAAACTGAATAGTTTTAAAAAGTTTCATGAGTTGCGTAATTCGAGTTCGAATACAAATGAAGCTTCAACTGCATTAGATGAATTGGAAAATAAATGAATAATAAATTGTGCCAGCATTTGCGTATAACAAAAATTAAAAAGATTTTTTTTAATTATAAATTATGATTGAGATAAGACTTTTCTATAACAACGGCAGAAATGCAAAAAATAAATTTTGTTAAATTATAACTTTAATACAAATGATGATATTGTTATAGTAATTGATGCTTGTCATTTTTTTATTTATTGAATAAATCAAAGCTGTAATTATAAATATTCACCTTTATAGAAGGACTTTTCTTCGCATAACTGACTTTCTAAAGCAGCGTCGAAGCGTGAGGGCACGGCATGAATGCACTTCTCTGTGTACAGGGTGATCGTAACATCTATGTTGCTTTCTTGTGTACCTAAGTAGAATAACTGCGTAATCAAATGTGTGATATGTAATCGTTGTATTCAAGGATATGAAAAAGTAATCCAGTGATTACTATTTAGATTTTAATTAGGATATCACTACTATCTCGAGTATGGGGGTGGAAATACACACCCTTGACAACAACTAAGGATACTAGGGAAACATTATATAGTACAACACAATCCTTTCTCAATTATAATTTATAATTCGAAAAAATTTGTTTTTGCCTTTCTACCGTAATTATAGGACACTTCTATCTGAATTATAGTTTAAAATTAGTATAAATTTTTTTCTGCCTTTCTGCCTTAGTGATAGAAAGAGCTCTGTCACAGTCATAATTTATGAACGAAGTAATGTTTTTGTTTCTGTTTACGAAAGTCCTTATACTTTTTTCTCGAAATTCTCATTTATATTGGAACTTCAGTTAGATATCTATTCGAAAGTTTCGAAAACACATGAAAACAAATCAATAACAACTATTGTATTGAATTGTGATATTATAATAAATAACTTTAAGTTTAAAAATATTTTTTTCTTGAAAGACTAAATGAAAAATGCATTTTTCACTATAAGTAGCTATTATTTAGATAAAAGCAAATACGAATATTGAATATATATCCGTACTAAATGAATACCAAATTGGAACTTAGTCTCAATAACATCAAAATTTCACATTGTATATAAAGAAAAACAAATGAAACAAATGTTCGTTATACCGTGCACAGCACACATATTTACGTGATACTTTCGACAAACAACTTTTTTCTTCCTCTAAAATTTGCTTTATGTATACATATATATATATATAGAATAAATATTTGAATAAAAACTAACTAGTAGCTAGTAGATTAAATATACATTTTCAATACAGAAGATTTCTCGGTTGATAGAACAACATCCACTAGGCAATTTGTTTTTATTTATCTCATAAATAATTTAATGTTATATATAAATGGACATCCCTATGCGATTAAGAAATGATATTAGTGATATAGTTTTATATAGATAAATTTTTCTTATCTAGAGCTTCAATTTATTTGTTTATTAACGTTCTTCAACTCACAATAAAATGTGCCCCAAGTGTGAATCTCTGTTTTTAATCCACTTTATTCCAATGTGTACTACTTAAGAAGCTGATCACGATAGCATAAATCGTTCTTCTTCATAGACTGCTTCGAGAAAATAGACCGATCTTGACTAAATAAAAATCACTGTAAGATATAATTTGGGAAACTTTTATTTTTGTGTTATTTATACTCTCTGCTTTTGAAACTTTAACATTGGATGCGTCTTAGTTGACTGTATACATTCACACAATCAGCATAGATATAGATCCTAGCCACGTCTATACGTTCAATATTTCAATACTTCTACCACTGCGGATGTACGGAATTCAACTATTTTTTTTAAAATCATTTAATCGTATAACCATGTTTTTAGGACAAATATTAAAATTACATGTTGATCAGATTACACTTATCTATCTTAAAATAAGATGCAGACTATTGAATATGAGATATTTGAGAAAGTTTAAATTACTAAATCTTTAAAATACTATAACCAGCAAATTTTGATCATTTTTGAAAAAACTAGTTAAATTCCGTACATTCAAAGTGCTAATAGTATTGAAATATTGAAAGTATAGACGCGGCTAGGACTTCTCTCTATTTTGATTGTGTGGATGCATATAGTCAATTAAAGCACATCCAATATTAAAGTTTCAAAGACTGAGAACATTAATAACACAAAAATAGAAATTTTCGAAATTATAGCTTACTATAGTTTTTATTTAGATAAAATTAGCCTAATTTCTCGAAGTAATCTATGAATAGAACGCTTTATATCAGCGTCATCAAATCATTAAGTTGTGCACACTGGCATAAAGTGGTTTGGAAACGAAACCTCAAACTTGGACATCTTCACTGGTTAGCTCAAAGTTTATCTAATGTTTTTTAGCTGAAAAGTGAGTTTTAGAGTGTACCGGATTTCAAGATACCAATAAGGTGAATTATGCAGACTGGGAATGTATACGAATGTCAGAATAGAATTTTCTCTCCTGTATATATATCTAGGCACATCGCACGTGAAAGTTTTTGTCTTTGTAAACAACTTCTAAGCCGTTTACACAAGCTTAAACTTCAATAAGCTGCTTTAAAGTGCTTGAAGGATATTGTTGGATAAGACTTTGAATTTACCAACCTATCAGATTCCACATTCAATAGTTCAGAGAGACAGAGCATGAAATTTTCGATAGT